CCGCCCCCGACGCCACCGCCGACGCCCACGCCGGCAGCCGTGTCCGAGGCGAAGCGTGGCCGCTCGCGCGCCCTGAGCCAGGCGCTGCAGGAGGCGATGGAGCAGCAGCTGGACGAGGAGGACGTGTCAGAGGCGTCGCCGCTGCTCGTGTCGCCGCCGTCCACGCCCCTGGAGCCCCGCGTGATGGTCGCCACGCCGACGGTGCTGCCGCCGCCGCCGCCTTTCCAGTCGCCTCCCTCTTCCAAGTGCAGGGTCAAGTTCAACGTCGCCAGGACCCCCTCGACTGCATCGTCTACACCTTGTGAGCCCTAGAGATTCGAGTGCCACACTGGATGTAACCGTAAACGTGCTGTGTACTAGGGGCGGGGTGGGCTACTCGCACTTGGTCTAGGCCGGATGTGTGGCCTCACGGTTAGTGAAGTCAAGTCTATCAGTCACTGCAGTGAGTGAGAAACATGATATATTTATGGGACAGAACAACCAGGGTAGGGTGGGGCCTAGCCCACTTCCAGTAATATCACTGTTGTTTTCAGGGTGAAAATATCGCACAGTACAAGATGGTCTCCCTTTCGTCCTGCTCCGCGGCTGCCCTTCCGTCATCTATTTTGCGTTTTCTCTCTGCGGCGGGGAGCCCCGCCCCACCCTTCCCTGCTCGGCCGCGCCCCGCCGCGCCTGGAACGGTTCAAACTAACAAAGGGTCCCGCGCCTCTCTCCTTTTGTTGCAGCCGGATACCTGGACTCCGTCGACGCCCTGGGGATCGAGTTGCCGACGCCTGCTCCGGTCGGCGGACACAGCGCGAGGGACGCCAACTCCACGGACACGGACCTCATCTTCCTGGAGAGCATAGCAAGGAGAGAGGTGGGTTTACGGTTGTGGTCGTTACATTGCTCGCGATTTTCGACACACTAAGCTATTATGCATACAGAATTTTCGAGTACTTTTGTGCAAACGATACTCCAGGAGGAGTAAGTGAATCTTCTATGGACGCGTCCCATCACTGGAAAAACAAAGGTGGAACTGGGACTTGCTGCCTTTTAAAAGGTGCTAGATTTTAGTGCCTGTATAAAAGCACAAAAGTGTCGCAGGGCACTAAAATTTAGCACCTTTTAGTCTTTCCAGGGCTGCTAATTCGTTCGTGCATCTACACAGGCTTAAATTCATTAGCACCTCCAGAAGGATATCCATATTCCTACGACCTTTGTTTTCCCAGTGATACCCGAGGCGACACCAGAGGCTTTGTTGTTGCCGGGGCAAGTACTTCGAGCCATAATTAGGAAGGAAGGGGGATGAAGACATTTCGCGAAAGGCCAGGAGGGCCAGGAGGGCCCGTGAGGTTGAACTAGGAGGGAGGGGTTAGAGTTGTCGTTATCTGATGGTGACAGTGGGGTAAGGGCGGTGCGGCTAGGGTGGGGCGAGGGTTGGGCGGCAGGGCGCCGGCTGGCACCGCGGTGCCCGGGGGTGCCGCGGCGCGTCGCCATGCCAGTCCGTCGCCGTCCCCCATGGAGCGCTGTCGCACGCCGCCGAGCACCCCGCACTCCCACAGCAGGACGATCCTGGACAGGCGCGGCGCCATGGCGGGCACGGGCCCCGGCGCCCAGGGCCGTCGCGTCGGCGGGGCCAGGATCAGGCCGAGGACGTGCTCCGTCGAGGTCAACGTGGACGTCAAGGGCTCCAGCAACGTGGGCATCGACGTGCAGGTCACCAGGCCAGTGAAGCTGTGGGTATGTGGCGACTCGAGAGCCGAGGACGGCGTTAGATCAACAATCCAAATCCAAATTAGTGTATATTATACTTTAGCTACAAAGGAGTTAGAATATTTCACCAGTTCTCCGGCACCGTGGGTTTGGTATGGAAAAGATCGACCGCTGTCGGCGCGGCTCGGACACCCCCCTCCCTCCCCCTATCCAATCGCTATAACGTGACTGGCGGCGATTACCCCCTCCCCCCCTCTCTCTCCACTGCCATAGCTGCCCCATTCGTCCAACCTTTTCTTCTCCACTCCCCCAAGGGGCGCGAGCAGGAGGGTAGGCGACGCGCCACCCACCCGCACAGCGTTTCCTTGCGCGGCCGGGGAACGCCACCGGCGCCACCGCGGCCCGGCCCCGGTGACAAGAAGACAGGACGCGTGCCGCTGCTGCAAACGGCGCGTGACAAACTGCCGCCAATTTTCAAAAGCCGCTCCGGTCTTCTCTCCCTCGCTCGCCTCCCGCCCCCGCCCCCGCCACTGTCGCTATTACGCCATTCATGCAGGCGGCAGCGCCGCGCCGCCGCCGGACAAAAACGAGCGTCCGCGCGCTGATCCAGAAAAAAGTAGAGGGAGAACGAGGAATAAGCGGTATCAAAACAATGCCAGTCACGGCAGCGAAGCGCTGCTCCTGCGAGGCGGTGTGACATTGCGGCCGGGAGGCGGAGCGCCGTGCGGCGGCCGGGTAGGCAACCCGAGCGCTGCAGCGCGGCGGCGCGCGCGCGCTGCCTACCCGCCAGGCGCCAGGAGGGAGCCATCATGGGAGGAGCTCGTATACGTTTCGTGTACTACGATAATGTGTAGTGCTCTCCCGCGCCGCATCCTGCGCGTAGCAAGCCATGCGGGGCGTTGTTTTAAAGGCCGGCCATTCATTCATGACGCCCCCTCCCCCCCCC